AGACTCAACCATAAGATGCATATACTCTCCTTAGGTCATATTCAATCCCCACCCATTGCCTTCTCTTATCCCCACCCCTCCTCCTTTCCCCATAATAGTCTTGCTTTTACTTTTAGGTCCCTTCTTCTTTCTGAATTCCACAAATGAGAGAAAACACTTAATATGTGTTTTTCAACTTAGCTTTTTTTTTTTTACTTTACAGGGTGATCTCTGGTTCCACCTTGACCAGTGATTTGCAATACTCTCCTTGTAGTGGTGGAGTAGTTTTCCCCATGTCTCTGGGGATAAGGCCAGGCAATTTCAACTTAGCCCTGGATATCTCATTTCTAATTCTACACTCCACTGTCCATGCCATAAAGCAAAGAAGGGGAGAAGTGAGAAGAGGAAGAACTGATGCCTTTGTTTTTCAGGGAAGTTTTGGAGGGGCTGGTCAATCCAGGCTCTAGAAAAACCAGTTCAGTGAGACCCAAACCCAGCTTGGCCTGGATGACAGCCTCCAGGAAGTTGGTAGCTCAGCTGATTCATGGCTTTCTGATACTGCAATCCTCTTTACCAGAAAGGTTTGCTGGGGACAGATGAACCTTAGCCTTAGGAAGACTTCTAGAAATCCAAAGATTTTAACAGAAAAGAGCTTGTTCTGTGACTTTTTTCACATGCAGAGCCTAGGATGGCTGCTTCTTTCTTCCCAGCAGCCCTCAGCCTCTGTATGGATCTGACACAGACTCCAGACACACCCACACTCTGAACTCTTCCTTTCTCTGCATTCTACCTCCCCGAGAACAGTTCTTCTCTATGGTGTTGCATTAAAGTCTAGACACAGGCCCATCAACTTTTGCTGTATGAGCTCTTCTCTATCCTTCACCTTTTGAGAGCAAGCACACACATTTGGCAAATTGCTCTTACAGAGAGCAGAACTTAAAGTGAATACAACAAAAGCTATAGATTCACCTGAATCAAAGTGTGTAGGGTCCACGGGCCGATGCTGATAGCAACCATCATCATCTGATCTTTTTAGACTGTTGTGCTTCACAGTTTCAAAATATGGTGTTTCTAGAGGAGCTCCCCTCAGCAGTAATGCCACTGAGAAAATGTCTTGCTTTTTAGTGCAGAATATAGGAAATGTCCTTTGGGTAGAAAGACTTTCTTGGCTGGTACCTGAGGTTCGTGTTCTGGGAGGAGATGACTGCTATTCACCAGTGAGTTTGAAGTGATTTTGAGGACCATTCACCTATTCCACAATTTCAGTGCTTGGGTATGATTGACATTTTTAATTGTCCTTCCTTCCTTTCATCTAGAAGCACAGCAAAACCACAGTCTCATAATCTAGAGCTCCAGTGGGACATTCCTTCCTATAAGTGAAGGTGAGAAAGTGAGTGTTCGGAGTCTTTGCCCCCTTTCTATGTAGACCCTGCAGTATTGCTGGGGATCCTTGGCTAATAGAGTGAGGAGACCCCTCCAGGGAGTGCCACATTCTCCAGGAGCCAGAAACACCACCCCCAATTTGAATTTTTTAGGACTTCCATGAGGCCTCCTTTTAAGCACATAGTGTCTCCGAATGTAGGAGTTCATGGGAATGGAGCAAGACACTATTCTCCAGAAGGATCCACAGCTGCTATTTGGAAACATGATGGAGTCTATGTAAAGGAAAGATGATGTCTCATGGTCTCCATGTTAAGCTGCTGAGGGTGTCACTATGTAGTTTAGGGGACTGCACCCATGTAGGGCACAGCACACATAAGGACCCCAATGAATATACAGGTAAGGTACTGCAAGTGTGTCTGCCCCATCCTGTGCTATGAACTCAAAAGCTTTGTCTATTTTGCTCACCAGAGTATCCTCAGTGCTTGTCATAAAGCACATGGGGAATGAATTGATATCCTCTTATGAACTGAGGTGGAGGTAGACTAAAGGAATGACTTGACCGAGACTTGGGTGATATCCTTGAAGAATTTTCACATTAGTTGGTAAGGCAAGTAGGTGGTGGTGGGAAGTCATCATAAAATATAGTAAGAAATGTATGTAAATGTCCCAGGGGGACGGCTTAGGAGAGAATGAATTGTGATGAGCATTGCAGGGGGGAGGCAGGGCTACCCTTCATGGAAATGGATTATCCATTGGATATAATGACAGAGTCCAGTCGGCACAGGTGTGCAGCCTGGCTGTTAAAAAGGAAGGAATTTGTTAGACATTTCAATAACCTTCTTGTAGGTAGAGACCCAACACCTAGAAGGAGCCCAGTATGCATTGCATGAAGAAAATGAATGTCTCTGTCTGGAAACAAAGCAAAGGACCAGATGCTTTGAAAAAGCTCTTTAGCCTAAAAGTCTTAACATAGAGCATTCCTACGGCTCTGGTAAAGTGAGCAATCAGACTGTGTTCATGCCATGGTAAAGAGTGAAAAGCAAAAGAAAGGAGTCCGGTCTAAGCTTCTCATAGGCCTTACTTCCTTGTCTATGAAATAAGAGACATAGTTATGTAGTTGATAAAAATCTTATGCACCATGACTCCAGGTTTCTGTATGTAGGACATGTGGTCTCCTGGTCCACCGCTTCTGTGGTAGACACAGCTGACTCAGAGAGTGTCTTCCTCTCACTGTTGCATAGATGTTCTCCCATATTCCCTCTCAGTTTTGGGGATGGGAGGCTGTTCTACTTAATGTGCACAAATTTGAAGGACACAGAAGAGGAGAGACTATTACTTATTGGGTGCCTCCCATGCTTTCTGCCTTTATAAGGCAGAAATTTGTCCTGTGATTCTGTGAAGTAGATATTATGATCCCAGGATTTAAAGATGAGGAGATAATACTCAGTGGTTAAAAACTTTACCATCGTAGGGCACACAGCTAATGAGCTACTGGGGTTGGTTTCAAAGTCAAGTGTCCACACTTGTGGGATGGGATCTTATTGCTCTTACTTGGATACGCAGGAAAAAATATAGAGCTGAAGGAGCATGTGGAGGCTGGGAATTAGAAGACAATGTGGGCAGAGGCTGAAACGTGGAGGGTGATGATAGAGTAATGAAGTAAGACAGGACTGATATGCAGATGGGCCTAGTCATCCGCCGGTGCTACTAGACTTGTTAAAACTGTCTGCACTGGGGAACATTGGACAGTTTTGAAAACAGATAAAATTCTTAGCTACATTGTGAAGGCTAACCTAGCTTTGGAGCAAAGGATTCCTTGAGTGGGGTCATTGGCTGGCTTCCTGGAAAGCTGATGGGAATAGCCTTCCTTTTCAGTGGGTCCTCTGAGGGTGCCTCTGTGCAAATCATTACCTGGGCAGCAATGTGAAAGACATACTGTAGCTGGAAGTTTTCCTGTGTCCTGCCTGGCCTGCAGCAGCTCATAAAATAATCACTCAGAGGCTTAATATTAATTACAAACTGTTTGGTCTGTGGCTCAGGCTTCTTGCTAACTAGCTCTTTCATCTTCAATTAACTCATTTCTATTAATCTGTGTTTTGCCACATGGCTTTGTGGCATGACCTGTGTTCCATTACATCTTGCTCCACCAGCAGTACTCAGCATCTCTTTTGACTCTACCTTCTTCTCCTCATCTCTCTGCTTGGATTCCCCTCCTGGCTCTATTCTGCCTTGCCATAGGCCATAGCAACTTCTTTATTAACCAATGGTAGCAACACATATTCACAGCGTACAGAAAGACCCATAGCAACCTATGATAAAACAGGCCTGGTTCCTCTCTGTAGTTATTACAAGAGGTAAGTTACTACAAGGAACACCGTGGCATGTAGCCTTGGAAAGGTAATATTTAAAGAAAACAGCTAAATGCCTGTTATCTTTTGGACAAAATCCATTATTTAAGTCAGAAGTGAGGCTCGGGGTCTCATGTAGCCTAGGCTAGCCTTCAACTCAATATACAGCGCTCGTCCTTCTCTTGTCACTGAGGCCAGGACTTCCAAAGTCTCCAAGTGCAATCAGCTGGTCTGTAGATTTCAATGCTCTTTACCCTGGGACGTGTACAGGCCTTGGCTGTCTATCTTGTCTTTGGCTTATCCTACTTTCTGATGCATATTGCAGATTAAGCCCACCTCAGTAAGCCACTGTTCAATTATCAGTTCTCCAATTTCGAAATAGCGGTTTCCCAAAAAGGCATACCCATAGTATTTAAATAGGATTCCTTTAATTGGGCATATGGGCAATAGAATAATTGACACATTCTCTTTTCTATGTTTTCATTTTCATTTGTCTTAGTATTTTCCCTTTTGCTTCACCTCATTTTAAGTGTTTCCTCGGTGGCTAGAAACCGAGAGGGATAGAGATATGTTGTTGTTGTTGATGATGATGATGATGATGATAATGATGGGGGGGGGGATTCACCAACATTTAAAAAACTTCTATGCCAGACATTTTTTCAGACTTTCTCCTTTTGGATTCTCCTGGGAAGTCCTGTAAAGGCTCTTTTTTCTTCACTACCCCTTCCTTCTCCTGTCTCCTTCCCCCAGCTCCTCAGCTAGCTGACACTAGTTAGATTAGTACCCATGCCATTAGCATGGAGTGCCTGTAAAGCATTCTTCTGTTTGTTTTTAGAAGTCTCCCTCTCCTCCCACAGGCACCTGCATCCCACACAACAGCTGTTGGGGAGAAAATCCCACAGAGAAAGAACTCCGAAGCCAAGAGGAGTTCCACACCGAAAATAACAGCAGATCTTGGCCAGGCTCCAGACCAGGGCTCTTGCCCTTGTCCTTGACTTTGGCTGCTTGAGATCTACTTGGGAACCTGAAAGAACCTTTGTGCTAACTCTGTGCCCAGCGCTCTAGTCCCCGCTGCCAGGGTGAGTGCCAGGGAGTATTTACACAGTCCGCACAATGTGAAGTGCTGTGTGAGAGTTGGCTACATGTGGAGTCAGTGTTCTCAAACCAGAATCACCATGTTACAAGGCAAAGGTGGGGAGGGATCCTGGGAACCAGAAAAGACAGCTTCAGGTCGCACCGATTCCGCTTCACCCAGGGTCTCTTCATGTTTTAAAGGACCGGGGAAATGAGTTCAGACTTCCGGTTTGGGACTCCGAGTCCGACAACCTCTCTTCGTGTTTAAGGTCTCTGATGACTGCTGGTTTTTTTTTTTTTTTTATGCTTTCACCCCTCTCCTCCTTCTTGTCTTTATTTCTTTCATCTTCCTCATTTTAGTTCAGTTTTCTTTTCTCGTTCCCTATCTTCATCTAGCCCAGTAGCCACCAAGCTGATTCCCTTGTGCAGGAGTAACAACTTCCTCGGAACGCTGTCTGAAAACATGACTGCTCTTCTAAACTCCCTGGAGCAAGATGGAAGGAAAGCCATGCTCTTCCGTCGTGGATGAGCCCCGGGAAAACCGAACTCCTTTTCTCACACTTGCACGTGAGCGGTGGGCATGGGGGCTGAGGCTCCATGTTACCACTCTCCTCCTAGCTGCGGCCTCTCTGCAGAGTTTCTGTGAAATGGGGACAGAAATAAGTGATGTGTCCTGACCCTTCTGTTCTCCTGGCCTCTTTCCTAGTCAAATAGTTTACCCAAGCTCTTTGTCAAAAGGTCCATTCAATAGACTAGAAAGCAATCAGCACGGAATGAGCAAATGCCATTTATTATTTTCTTAATCAATTAGGGTGTAATACTTTAAACTGCACTTGATTATGAATTTTAAACAATTTTTTTTTGAGGCAGGATCATACTATGTAGCCTTGGCTACACACTTTGTAGATCAGGCAGGCCTCAAACTCACAGAAATGCACTGGCTCTGCCTCCCCAGTGTTAAGATTAAAGGCATGTACCACCAAATTATGAACTTTTGAGGTTATCTGGGATTGATGTAGTTTGTAGTGGCTACTAGGTCAGTGTTCTATTTTGAAAGCATTAGGACCGTACAAAGTTACATTATTTTACCCAGAGGGAGAGATTATGGTTGCATTTTGGGTAAAAATGTTGGGAATAGGTTTGGCAAATAGCTTTTAGCCTCCTGCTTTCAAACCTTACATGAAACTGGAAAGACATAGAAACAGATCCATTCTTAGATAAAGGAATGTAAATCAGAAACTCGGATGTACTATTGGTTTGCTGAGCCAGAGGCCGAACTCATGAAAGGCTTCCCAGGGCCATGTCAGAAGGACAAACTCAGTCACTTCATTCAGTCACAGCTCCCAAGTAGCTGTGGGACTGGGGTGGGTACAGCTAAGGTGTCCATGGAGTTCCAGAGAAGGGAAGGAATCATATAGCAGTCCCTTCCTGTTTAGTCTCAGAAGACCAGCAGGTGACCTTGCCAGGATACTTGAAGCAAGGTGTGTGTGTGTGTGTGTGTGTGTGTGTGTGTTTGCTGGGGATCAAACCCAGTTTCTTGTGCATGATAAGGAAGCAGCTCTACACTGAGCACACCCCAGCCTGTCACTTTCTATTAATCAGCTAGTGCCACTAGCTGCCCGAGTTGATTGGATGTGTGGCTTACCTTTCTCTATAGCAGCTTTGGATCAGATCTAACTCTGAGCAGTTTGAATTTCGAGTCAGGACCTTGGAAGATGAAAAAGGAAGGACATGAAACACCACACAGTCACATATTCATAGATAAAAGAAGGATGTGCAGGAAAAATGTATTTTACTTCCCATCTTGAAACCCAATGAGATGAAAACAACAAAGACAAGCCCTAGAGACCCAAGGCCATGTCCTAGTCCGAGAGGGCCTGGGGTAAGATGAGAATTTCTTTATACGGAATGACGGGGATCTGGAGGATTTCTGGTGGCATTTCTGATGTCAGCAAGAGAGCACAGGAGTATCTACGTGGCACTCAGAACTCAGAGCCTCACCTTGGGGGAAGGCTGCCATTTTCTCCTACCCAGAGGAGTGTTCATGTCTGTCAAGTGGCTGCTCCACTCCTGCTCTCCTCTCCCTTGGGTCTGCCTCTCACACAGCCAGCCTTCTTGCATAAAGGCAAATTAAGCCATGTCTTAAGCCGTCTAGTGCTTTCCCACCAATTAGGACGTAACATTATCTTCTTACTATGGCCCCAAGAACCCCCCCCCCCCCCCGAAGATCCCTAGCCAACTCTCTAGCTTCGCTCTGTTATCTTTTTGTGGAATATGTGCCAGTCACAGTGGCCTTACTTCTGTCCCCTGAGTGGACAGAATGCTTTTCCACCTCAGGGCCTTTGCTGCTACCATCATCTTATGGACTCTGACCTCAGGTTTTGAATAACTGCCTCCTTCCTTTCTACTATTCTAGCTCGATCATACTCCCTCTAGAAAGCCATCCAATTGAAACTAGAAAGCCACTCAAAATCATATTACCCTATCTTATTTTCTCAAGAGCCTTTGCCACTTTATTGAAGTATAGCATTTCTCCCACCCCAGTGTTTACTAACTGAATGTCTATAATGTAGAAGCTGTCATGGGAATAGTCTCTTAGGACTATATTATACATTGTTATCTATGCAGTGTAAAATGGTTCCAAGCACAAGTCAAATAGCTTTGACTGGCACTGATGAATGATGGGGCCTAACTCACCTCCCTAGATCCTGCTTTGACTTACTTCATGGATTAGAGTGGATTGTAGAGTGTGTGGGAATACCCGTGAGACTTGTAGGAAGAAATAGCCCAGGATATGTGAGAGTACTTGTCAAGATGTTAGAGCTTAGGGAACTCATGTATATTGCTACTACCACCCAAGAAGAATGTGCTAGACAGTGTCCAGAGATGTCTGTCACCAACTCCCCTCACCTTACCCATGTTACTTTATTCATTAAGATGTAGACCAACACCATCCTTGAATATAATTGGCTTTGTGGACTGTTTTTACTGATACATAGTACAACCCAAAAATAAATGTTTTGGGTCTTCCAAGCCCAGGCGCTACCAGAATAGGCAGCCATTGTTTCTTCCATGGAAGAGTCCAATACTCTGAGAATATTGTGTAGAGAAACCCAAGCTATCTGTAGAGAGAAGTCACATGGAGGAGCTCCAAGGCACCAGAGAGATGACTGAAATACTAGCAGTCTGTCTCCTGAATGCTTCCTAGTGACTGCTCCCAGCCTGTATCACTTGAAGCAGACGACCTTCCAAGCCAGCAAAATCTGTGAGCAACAAAACATTCATGTTTCAAGATCCAGTGAGAAGAGGTGGTCTGTTGGATAACAGACAGCTAGTGTTAGGGCTGTGGTTGCTCTGTTAAATTCTGGGTAACTAAGGCTTGAAGGACAACTAAGTTTCTAAAGATTTGATCTACACAAAAATCCCTAGGTTCGATTGAGTGGAGGTGGGTTCTTATAGTTGGGGCTGAGCTGAGATTCTGCACTTCTTACTACTGCAAAGTGACATGTGTCAATGACAAGTGCTTGGACTGAGCTTTGAATAAGAAGACCAACCCGAGCCTTCTACAATCATCTCAGGAAAACACCAGTTTTCCCTCAGGTTTGTTTAAGGAAGTAGGGTCCGGTCAAATACCTTTGGGAAACACCACCTACTATGGCCAGAGAATCACGATATATGCACACTAGTTATATAACAGTTCTTTAATGGGCTGTAGATCAAGCTCTCGGGTGGACTCCTCACTTAGAATGCATGATGGCCCCGGGTTTGAGCTCTAGCCCCAAAAATAATAAATGTTCTTAGAGTCTGTCAAGCCAAGAAATCTAACTCTGTTAAATGTGCAACTTTCTCCCCACCCATCATGTTTAATTGCTTCTATTAATACCTTTAAGAACTGGTGTTCTGAAAGCAGCCCCCACCCCTACTTGGAGTTAACAGGCTCTCATTGTCTCTTTATAATGAGGACTCATGTCACACTATTTTTGTTTTTGGTTTTGATTTTCAACCCTGAAGTTTCTTCTTTGCTGATGTATACTCTAATTCTCCCTCCTCAACGCAGACTAGAATTCTCTATTCATTTGTAGCAGATGGATAGCGGCCCTATGACACCCAATTCTTAGTCCCTGTGTTTGAAGGTCCTCTCTCTGTTCAAGTCCTTGACCCAGCTGCCTAGTTTTTGTTTCTCTTTCTTGGCCCTTTGTTGTTCTTTTCCAGGGTCTAGTGTTTGATCAGTGGGTTGACCTTGAATTGGTTTCTTGATAATTCTGAGTTAAATCTCCCTATTTGTAATGTGGAGGTGTTCCAAGCACCGAGTGAGCATTGAGTCAGTTGACCCATGTGAAGTGGTTAGCATCAAGCTTGGGAGTCTCAGCAGCTCTCCTCATCCTTGCTCTTGATCTCCCAGCCCCGAATCTCTTGCCCCATGGCTGTTTGTGACCCATCGAGGCCAGGGAGGAGGGGACACATGGCTGATTGAAACTCTTCTGATTCCACATGCTGATTCCAGCTGCTATTTTTAGTCTCCTTCACACCGAATGTTTTTCCTGGTACTGCTGAGAGGCACCAGAAAGTTCAGGCTAAAGTTAGAAAGCTGAATCTGTGTTTCTGGAAGTCCACCCACTCGCCATCTCGGGAAGCCGTTCTTTGGGGCTGACACTGGAATTTCAAGGGTTATCTGCACTGTACTGTTTTTATCAGCGTTTGTCAGAGATGCTGTCCCAGCGGCCAGACTCTGAAGTAGAATGTTCGCACCGAAGCATGGTTCAGAGCTAGCTCACCTCCCCTGTCTCTCTTAGCTCAGGGACTACCTGCACCTTAGGCTTTTCACACTCCAGAGGAAGCAGGCAGCTTGTCATCCATATTAAAACCTATGGAACACTTCCCTTCCCCAGCTTTTGCTGGCTGCCAAGTGTAGATTCCACGGGAAGGCTGGGTTCCTCCAGGGGGCTCACAGGGAACTCTGCTTGTCCTTGGTTCTTAGTTCCTTGGCCTCAAAAGGGAGTAATTCTGATTACAAGGAGAATTTCCTTTCCACAGGGTGGAAGAAAACTTGTTGTGGTTAGTTCAACTTCAAGACTGATCTCTTCCCTCCACATGTGCACATGTGGACTGGTCATTATTGCATTCCTTGGTAAACCCCAACTGCTATTCTTCTCATAGGCTAGACCCAAAAGGCTGCTGGAGGCAACAAGGATTTTGATTCCCTTGCTGAAAATCGGGCTCTTTCGGCAAGTGACAACAAGGCTAGTGTTGCCATTTCACTTGGGCACGTAGGAGGACCAGTTAAATACCACGGCCAAGACTCAGTGTTCCGAAGGTATCGGGCACTGTGTTAAATAAAGCTCTTTCTGGACCCCTGTTCTCGTCATTGGCAGAAGATATCTGAGGGGTGAAATGGGTAAGGAAAGCGAAAAAACGTTTCCTAGGTCCCAAAGCTACTGTCCATGGGGAAAAGAGATATTCAAAGCAGAACTGGGGAACTCCTGCCCGTGGCATATGGAAGTGTTGCTTGAAAAATCAGCCCACGCTGTTCTGGGGAGCAGATCTGAGTCACACGGATGCACAGCCTTGCAAGGCTCTCCTGGTACCCTTTATGCAGCCCCTCCGTGAAGATGCCTCATTTCTTATGTGGAAATAATCGTAAGGTACTCCACAGCTGACCCTGGCAAACCTACAGGGTTTTTTGAACTTTAGGCAGGGAACCTCAGCCTGGAGGGTTTTTTCTTTTTCTCTCTTTTATATGACTATTCCCACTGGGAAAAAAGTCTGTCTGCTGAAATGCAAACCGATGTTATTTTCTGTTTTGCTTCCCACGGGTAGGAAATGAGTCCAGAGAAGCTGCCGCTTGCAACTAGAGTGTGCATATGGTACTAGTCTTGGGACTACTGTGAATCCAAAGAAAGTTTTTATTCCCATTCCTGTTCAGACAGTTAGTTTTCCCAGTGCATGAATTAGAACATTGGAAAAGTGGCAATGACTTTGGTTTCAGATGCTGTAGTCCCTGCTCCTCCTGTGTTCAAGTGTGAGTTTTTAGGTGTACCAGTAGCTGATTCAGCCAGAGATTTTTCTTTTCTTTCCTTCCTTTTCCTTTCCCTCTCCCTCTCTCCCTCCTCCCCTCCCTCCCTCCCTCCTCCCCTCCCTCCCTCCCCCTCTCTTTTGGAGATAGGGTATCACTATGCATCCCTGACCGGCCTAGTACTTCTAGGTGAAGCAGCTGAGCTTGAACACACAGATGTCTCCCTGTCTGCCTCTTTAGAGCTAGAGTTAAAGGTGTGCGCTACCATGCTCAGCCCTAGAGCTTGTTTTAATGCAGAACCAAAGGCCCAGCCACTAAAGAAGCAAAGTCACCAGCTCCTCTGTGGGCGCACTAGGGATGAGAAGCACCGTTTTGTAGGACGTGAATCCCGAGAGTAGTATGCAGATAGTGTGGGTGTTAGAGTGGTTGTGTAATGCTGGCTACGTGGCAGGATCACCTGGGGACATAAGAACACAGAGAAGCATGGGGCCCATCGCTGCGGGTCCCGGATTAGTGTTCTGAGTGGGCCTTTGTGTGGGACGCTTCTTGGTGATTCTATCGGGTGTGAGCCATCAGCACTGCTGCCCAAGGAAGAAGTGAAGCCTAGCTGTGGAGCAGCCATCATGGTCATCGGACATGGGCCCTCACGAGACTGAGGGCATCAGTTTCTCTCTGCTGGACTGTCTGTTAGGACAGCATGGATATAGACCAGGCTTGAGAAAAGACAACAGGGTGAATATGAAAACTTCAATGCAGCCTTGTGGGATTGTTTTCAAGGAAACATAGAAAGGGGGCTACTGGGCTGTGCTTGATATGTTGACGGAACTGAGGTTTGGAAAATGTTCTAAAACAAGCCAGCACAAGCGGAGAGGTCTGAAGACTGTGTTGAGTGTCTCTACTTTTTAACCTCTGGGGTACTAGGCAAGCTGGAGACTGAGGGTCTAGTTGCATATTCTAAGAAGAGACAATGGAAGCCACTTGTGGAGAATGGGATGGCTAGATCCGGAAGCAGCATGGACAGAGAGGGGAAGAGGGCTTGCAGCACCCTGGGGACCAGAGGCTGCAAGGAGCAGCCCATCTAGATGGGGAGGGTTATTCTCTGCATGATGTCATCCATCAAGATCAGAAGCCAGGGGCTGGAGAGGGTGGCTCAGTGGTTAAGAGCACTGGCTGTTCTTCCAGAGGATCTGGGTTTGATTCCCAGGAGCCACAGAGTGGCTCACAATGGTCTGTAACTAGAGTTCCTGAGCTCTCTTCTGACCTCCTCAGACACTGTACACATGTGGTACACAGGCATGAATGCAGGCAAAACACATATTGTACATAAAAATAAATAAGTTAAAGAAAAGATCAGGAGCCAATGTGCTGTAGGCCTTGAGTTACATGTGGTCTACTGTCTATTTTGTAAATAATATTTAATTTGGAAATATCCACACCTATTCTTTTATATATTGTCTACAGCTGTTGTAGTGCCATACTGGTAGCAGAGTTCAATAGTTGTAGCAGAGATCACATGGCTCTCAACATATGAAATATTTGCTTCCTGGTTCTTAAAAAATAAAATGTTTTCTGGTCCCTAGGATGATGTGTCTTATACATAAGCCGTTTATGCTCAGATCATTGGCATCTTCTCAGAGAGCAAGGTTTAACCATAAAGTCTGAGAACCAAGGGCTGCACTTGCCCCATCCATTGTTATTTTCTATAAGCTTTGTTACCAACACCAGTGGAAGCAGGGCAACATGACCCTGGCTCTCTGAAACAATCGGAGGTGCCCCAGGATGCTTACCAAAAGAAAGATGTGTGTCCCTAGCTAAGGCCTACACAGCTCAACTTCAAGAGCCTTCTGGGGTACATCCTTCCTGCTGTCACTGATGCTTGCAGCCCAGTCACTGTTTCTCGTGAGACCCTCCTCTTAGGATAGTTTAAGTTTTTCTGATTTTTCTTAGCAAAAATTCAACAGCAGTGATATGACCTCTTTCAGCACAGCAAGAAGGCCTTGACACTCACACACATGGAGACCTGTCTTAGTATCCGGAGGGAAACTTCACATTCTCAGTACGTGGCCTTTACCGGCATCTCTGTTGCTAGGTTACATGCCATCTGATTGGAATTTTAAAGATCCTGGTAGAAATCTCCTTGTTTCTCTAGTCTTAAGGCTGTGTCTTCAGGTTTTATGTTTTAAATTGAGTCTGTGTTTGCGTCATATAAAAATGGGTTGGCATTTTCAACGGGCTAAAAATTCATCAAAACCCCATCCCTCGGTTACTAAGGTGACACAGACTTTCCACTTTGGCAAGTGGCCCAGCTTCCAGGTACTGGGTAAAGTGGGAGTTTCCCTTGCTGACGTTTAAAAGCAGAATGTTTTTCCCCTTGACCAACCTACTTGAAAATCAATGCTTACCTATACATAGCTCCTATTTGTTTCTAAAATGAGATGGTTCTTTGCAGGTTGTTTGATGTGATGTCATCAGCCAAACAACCGTGTGAGGCTGCCCAGGGGGAAACTAATTTCCTCTTGAAGACTGCAGTTCTAAAAGCTGCACATGTTTTATCCTCACCATCAATAGGAACCAAAGTACATGTCATTCTGTGACAAACTAAATAAAAATGATCCCACTCTCAACAGCTAAAAATAGGTAACATTGGTGTGAACTGGCCATGGTGTGTCATACACAAAATTAACTTTCAGGATCTCTGAGCCATCATCCTTCAGCAGGAGGCATGGGTGACAATCAATAAGAAGGGGCAGGCCATATGTGTCAAGACCTCTGGACACAGGAAACATACAGTGATTTCAAGAGGTTTCCAAATGGAAAGCGACAGGACAGATGCTATGGAACACAGGCAATGGTTTTCAGTTGTTTTGTTTGACACATAGACAATTCTCGATGTTGTGCTTCAGGGAATATTGTCCAGGGCAGCGGTCTTCTGTAGTACCATTCTGTCTTTCTATCCTCCCATAAAACTTGGGGAATGCTTAGTGAGTTTGTAGACATGCTTGATCGTTACAAATAGAAAGGAGGAAGCTGTTGACATCCAGAGGGTAGAAATCAAGGATGCTACTAGATATCCAACAATGAACAGAACAGTTTTCTACCATGGAGAATGATCCATCCCCAAGTCACAACAGTGCAAAAGTTGAATGTTGTATCTATATGATGGAATTCTGTAATGCAGGATATAATAGTTTGCGTTAATTTTTAGCTTGACAAGACCCAAAATTACACAGGAGACCAATTTCTGAGCCTATCTGTGAGGGATCATCTAGATTAGGTTGTCCTCTGAGCATGCCTGTGATGGATAATGCTGAGTAGGTTAATTAATGTGGAAAGAGCTGCCCACTGTGGGCGGTACCATTCCCTATGCTGGGATCCTCGACTGCATAAAAAGGAGGAGAAGGTGAGAAGAGCACTGGCACGCACGCACTGATTTCTTCTTTCTGGTTGTGGACACAGTGTGACCAGATTCTTCCACTTCCTGGTGCTTTAACTTCCTTGTTATGACTGGACCTTGACCTGTGAGCCGAAGTAAATCTGTCCTTCCTTAAACTGCCTGAGTCAGCATATGTTGTCATAGCAACAGGCAAAAACACGAAGACAAAGGCTAATGATCTCACAGAGCTGTGTCTAGGTGGCAATTTATTTCTGTACAAGTATTAGTAGCAACATGTCCGCTGCTGTAGGAACTTGCCAACAGTCTAACAGTAATAAACAATGAGACTTGGAAACACATGAGGAGGTGGTTTTCATTAAAGAGAGAGCTGAGACTTCAAGATCCCTAAGGGTGATGGAAAAGGAAAGTATTTCATGTTCAGTATTGAGGATTAAGAAGTTTGTGTTTGGGATGAAATGAAGAAGACAATAAGAGGTAAACAGTCCTGTAAAGGATAGAGGGTATGTGGCAAATGGGGACTCTGATATGACCCAGGAACCTTCCTGTTTCCTGGCCTGGGCTCTCACTGTGGTTCAGAGCAGGTCCTGCTACAGTACCCGCCCATCTCTGGAAGAGAAGCATTTCCATAACTCCTGCCACTGCTCCTCATCAGTCCTTCCTCATCACCCTCCCTTGAGACCTATAGGAAAGTGTTTCCTGAGAAATTCCCCGGGGGAAACTCTTACTATGTGACAAATGTATGGAAAAATGAGATGCTAGACAGAGGCAGAGTCTTTTCCCAAATTACGCAATCTGGCTGAAGCCACTCCTGTTGAAATCTGGTTAGGACTGCCTGTCATCAGTATACCCACATATTTGCATTGAGATTCCAGTGAGTGTTTTGACACCTTAAAAATACAACAAAAGCTATTGGTATGAATTTGGGAAACATAAAGGAATTTCTTCTCCTGAATCTGCAGTCATACATGGAAAAAAGCAATGTGTAGTTAGAATGTTTGTGTGCACATGCAATCTCAGCACTTGGGAGGTAGAGGAATGATAACCAAGAGTTCAAGACCAGTGAAGCCGCATAATGAGTTCAACACCAACCCTGATGGCATAACAAGACCTTGACCAAAAGCTAAAGGCTGTGGATGTAGCTCAGCAGGAGAATATTAGCCTGGCATGTGCAAGGCCCAGAGTTCAAGTTCCAGCAATGACAAAAAGCAATGTCTAAATAAAAATACTAGAACTGATGAAAAGTTATATGCATCTAAAGATAAATATATGCTAAATATTATTTTTTCTTGTTACCAAAACACCTAAAATGAACATAGAAGATATTATATTCTTATTAGAAATAGCAATTATAAATATTTATAAAGGTGTACTCTATTCCTGTATAGAAAAGCTTAAAATTGTAAGTATAATTTTCTGAAACTTAATGTAAAAACTTAAACTTTAAAGAGAATATCAGACGTTTTCCCACCCTTGGGAATTGTATAAAATAATCTTCAATAATATAGAATGACAAATTTCCAAGAACAGCTCGACAGTCATTTAAAATGAAAGGAATGGCCAGGTGTGATGGTGCACACATGTAACCCCAGCACCATAGAGGTGAGACAAGAAGACAGAGGTAATCCTCAACTGCTTAGTGATCTGAGGCCAACCTGGTTACCAGAGAGAGGCCTTGTCTCAAGAATAAGAAGGAGGAAAAGGTGGGGGAGGAGACATTTAAAAAGGATGTTATCTTCTATTATAATTATCACTGTGTATTAATTATATAAACTAACAAGTTTCACTGTTCTATTTCATACATGCATATACAATGCTTTGATCATATCTGCCTTCCTTACCATGGAAAAGTTTATTTTGAATTGGACTTGCTTTACTGTATATCAAAATAATCTCTAATCATGTGCATACAACACTGCCCAAAGAATATAGACATAGGGCAGAAGAATGGGCCCATAAGGATGACTCGAGGGGAAATTGAGGGATGTTTAAGCAAGTGGTGTCAGCACAACTGTCTGCATCTGGATAGAGATAAAATTAGAATATCTCTACAATATATCAGAAGTAAATTTCAGATAAATTAAAGATGTATTAAATGCTAGAAACAATACAACAGAATACAGCAAATACCTAAGGATAATTCAGGAGTAGAGGACACCTTCTAACTAAGATAGGCAAACCTGAGGTTATAAATGAATGTATAAATGCATACAAAAGTAGCAGTGAATTAAAGGAGATTATAAACAACAGAAAGAAACAAGTGATGAATATGGAAACACCATCCCAATGTAGAAGACAGACTAAGATAATTTATTCATAACATTTGAAGAGCATCTGTAAACAAGTAGATAGAATAGCCATCCAACCAAAAAGGGGCAAGGGATATTGACAAATTTTCTCTAGGAGAAAAATGTCAAAATGCTAACTAATGCCTGGAGACTCCTTGATAGTCAGGAAACACACATTTTAAAAAGTAACAGTGACTTTAGTCCCATTGTTGTTACAACTGGAACAATAATAATTGGGGATTATTCTTTTTGATGTGGAATTCCTGTGAGAGCACATAGTGATGAAAGCTTTTGTAGACTTTTTATTCTTGTTAAATACGAAATGATCCACCCATGAGATACATGTCAGTGTTGTGGCGTCAGGGAGTAAATAGCACCAAAGGCTGCCTACTGTGTTTTTAGCACTTTAGGAATATGAGACCAGGAGGCTATCAAAAATACAAAAGAAGAAGACTGCAGTGCCCACCCCTGTAACATGATTCAACTTTAATTTAAAATGAATTGTTACATATTTTAATATTTAAATGTGTATATACACAGATTAACTATTTGAAAAATAAATCAGCATACATAATGGTTTTCAAAAATATGCTAATGTTATCTTAAATTTATAAGGTATTTTTGTTTCCAAGAAGCCATGACACTTTGATGCACCCCACTCATTTCATCCTCTTGACTTTCCTGGGAGTTGTGACCTTTAAATGTCAAGCCTCGTAGGGCTCTCTGCCTGGCCCCAGGGTTGGACATCTGGAGAGACAGACTGGACGGTCCTTGCTTCTTTTTTGTGTGATCTGTTGGGAGGCGGGTTTGTTCCTGGGCTCTGGGTGCCTGCAGGGCTATAGTTTATCCAGGCTTGTGATTTGCTCCTTCCTCTAGACATGATTTCCTGTCTTGGGTGAAAGGGGGTCTTCAAGCTGTCCCCTAGATGCTGGCTTCAGGATCCTGAAACAGCGCAAGGGAAAGAAAACAGTCAAGGACTCTCTGAGGGGCAGCGTTCATGACTGACGGCAAGACCCTCAGTGAAAAAACAAGTTCTGATGGGCAGTGCCCCCCTCAGTTCAGTAACAGTTGGTGAGATGATGTAAAAATCACAGCTTTGGGGGCCTGAGCGCTGGCCCAGTGGTTAAGATCATTTGCTGTTCTTCCAGAGGACCTGAACTCAGACCCCAGAACCAACGCCAAGCAACACACAACCACCCATAACCCCAGCTCCAGGTGATCCAACACCCTCTTCTCACCTCCTCAGGCAACACCCCCAAACACCCCCATCTGCTCACCCACCCACCCACTCACTTCTCCATGCAAGCATGCATGCATGTACACACAGAAAATAATATGGAGTTGGCACATAAGAGTCAAGGGCCAGATTCTGGCTTTACTACACGGAAGGAAAAATTACTTAATGTTTTTGAGCTTGAAAATCAAATTGTCTCCAAATGATGTTCACTTATTAGATTGTCACAAGAACCGATTAACTAAGATAATGACTAT